ATAGGTCTGAAAAGTTTATAAAATTATGATTTAAAAAAAAACTCAAAAGATTTATATACCCTTTCTTTCAATTCTTAGTTTATGAAGGAGGAAAATATGTGTCCTTTTTTTCTTCTTCTTCATTTTAAGCTAAGTTTATAGAAATTAAATTGGCAAAGTGATTCATTTTAAAAAATGGGAAAAAATGTATTGCGCAGTTACTCATCAACTTAAATACAAATATCTTAAATGTATTAGATAATAGAAATGGCTTTTAATTTGGATATAAATTTAGAAGATAAAATAAGTGCCAACAGATTTTTTTGGTATGGTAAGAAGGGAAAAATGTAATTTCTTTATGGAATATATGAAGATATATAAATAGAGATTAGGTACATAAACCAACTCTATTCAGTTACTTTGTTCGTTATTTCTGCGAAATCTAGTAGGTATTTCATTTCTCCTTAGATCTTAGTAATATATAATAAACTCTTTGTCAGATGAATTTCTTAGGATTTTTCGCATTTTCTACGGTGGTCAATTTTTTAAGGTCAATTGTTCAGTTTTTAGTCTACTTTGATTAAACCATGTATCTCCTTATTCTACATTCTGCTTATTGAATAATACTCTAAATAAAGTTTCAACTAAACAAGTTTATAATCAAAAAGGAGTTTTGTGGATATTATAGTAATTTAATAGTTGAATTCATAAATCCATTGGAGCTAAACCATCATAGAAAACCTGGAATCACTGGACTACCGTTTCGTCCGAGTATGGGACTCCTCAGTAGCACGCATTCATTATCTCGCTTCTCGAGATTCAAACAAAGAACCTATAGGTCTTGCACGCAAACGCTTAACCTCTAGACCATTAAGCCGCCGTCCAAGTTTAATTAGAACCAAACGTCATTTATAAGCATAAGAATATTTAGTAAAAATAATTAATTACCATCTTTAAATACAACAGATATTTTTGTTACAAGCTGTGAAGAATATTATTTATGTTAATGAATATTTAATTAACATTAACATATTGTTATACCGTTTTTTAATTAATTTCAAGTAGGTAACTTGAATTTGTTTGAATGCATTGAAATAGTTTGATTTGAAACACTTGAATGACTACTTATGTAATTAGGTTATTCTTATTCTTACTTTAAAATTGTGCAAGATATTTATAAAATTGGTCATTTATAAACTTATAAGAAGGAATACAATTACAAACAAAAATGTTTCATATAAGATATATTCACTTATTGGGAAGACAGTAGTAGAACAATAAAAATGTCGATTTAGTTACTATCGGAAGTTAATTGAAAAATTTACTTTATAGCATAAAATTTAATTATTTATTTTAACACATAGATATTGGTACAAGGAGGCACCAAATACATATGCACCACACAAATCTCATTTGATATGTGTGAGGGCTGTGATGCTGACCGGGTGCCCAGACCGAAGCAGGTGGTTTTCTTAGGGGGCATCACCCGGAGCCTTTGACCTGAAGGTCTGATCCACAAAGCCATGGAACAAGGTCAGGAGATGCAGTCCCATGGTAGCCGTTGAAAAACGACTGGTTCATACGCCATTTGTTCCTTCAGGACCTTGGAGCCCATGTGCACTATTGCTTTGGAATCAGAGTTTTCCAACTCTCCTAGGTGAACTCCCCGTGTTCACTAACCTGGTTAAATCGCCGGATATTCACTTTTCATTTTCTCGATTTCGTAATTATTATTATTATTATTATCAGAAGCTTTATTCAACATTATATTTTTGATACAACATAGAATTCTCAGCATAAAGTATTTCTACAAGTTTCCTTTTCTTATACCTTGATCGATTGTGACGATAAATTTTGAATGATGACCAGTTAGATGTTAGAAGTTCGGTAATCCACATTTGATTACTGATCATTTGTATCAATGCATATTGCCAGCAACCATGATGTCGCTGATTGTACCTTTTTGTATCCCGTATAGCGAAAGGTTGTAAACTTTTCATAAACGCGCCTGAATAGGTTGTGCGCACAATAGACATAGTGATGTGCTAAAACAAACAACAAAACAGATAACTTGATGAAATATCTAGATCGGTGGAACAGGTAGCCCAGATATTCAAGCAACACTCTTGTCGCGAGAAGGCAGTGAGTATGACTTCCCTGTCAGAGGATATATACGCGTGGACATGTGAGAGCATTTTGAGAGGGAGAACAAACTCACTCCACTCTCAGCCGTACCAGGGCATTTGGGGGCATTGCATAAAGTAGTTTGAAGACATGATAGATTCTATTTTCTAAAAAGAAATTTTAAACAAAATATTCAAAAATGACTCGTTTGATATGTTTATATAATGTTATTTTAATCTGATATATATATTTTTAGTTAATGTTGTTAAATATTCCAATGTGCAGTTGTAATTATAGATGATACATACGTAGAGATATATAAAGCAATGAAATAAATAGTTTGTGTCACTATCAAGAGTTAACTTGATAATTAAAAAAAAATAAATGAAACATTAAAAATGATAAGAATATATATTTACGATCTTCTATGGAAAGAAAAATTAGATTTCTGCCGTTTTGAGATCGTTTCATTGAAAAGTCGCCTGATTGTAGAATAAACTAAATATTTCATATGAATAAAAAAACGAAGTTATATTTAATGTATAACTGAATCAGAATACTACATGAACTATGTTAAGTCTCTAATAATGAGAATATTATACAATATAAATTGTGAGGACGGTCCATGTGAAAACTCGAGGAATTTCTAAGAAGCTTAGAAAGAGCCGAAGATATTCTATCCAATCATCTTTTGGAAGAATATTCCAGAATCACTACATGTAGTTTCCCTATTGGACAATGCTAATAACCTCCTATATGTGGATTAGATAACTATAACGATGGTTTCGTTTTTACTAAAAGCTATAAATACCTGACAGTTTTGTACCATAATTGACACTATTTGGAATAACATTCCTTTCACTTGTCTTCTGTCTTCTCATTTACGACTTGAGAGGGTTCTAGTGTTCGAGTGCTTAATTCCAACGCGACATATCAAGAATATAAGCTCTAGATATAACATAATTTAGATTAGATTTAATAAAATAAATGATTATATACTACCTTAATTTTTAACAAATAATTACACGAATAATAATTCACTATCTTAATAAATTACTATTTTCGAATGACTGGTACATTTTTTTTTAATTTTCAAAAACAGTTTAATTAGTTTCTAAATCAATATAATATCCTCTCTCTCCCTCTCTCTCAATCTCTCTATATATTCCTAGATAAGAATGGGAATACTGTTTTCTTTTAAATATCTTTTAGTTCTTTTCCTAACCCGTAAAATGTTTACATTATTATCAACTAAAAACAATTACTTTATCATGATTTTATGAATGAGTTTATGATTGGAATAATTCTTTTAATCAGAAAAGTGCTTTATTATTCATTATTGCTTATAGTAACACTTACTAATCATAGACATCTTATCTATTCATGTGTAATGGATGTTTTGTGACAAACATTAAAGAAGAAAACAGAATTTTTTTTGGTTAAGGTTCTGAAAAATTCAAGGCATAACTTTATAGATTTTATTGACGTTTATAAAATTAAGTTGTCTTGAATTGTTTATAATCAGTGACTAGCAGTATAGTTCGTTGGTAAATGAGTAATTTTTAAATCCTCGTTAATTGATTCACATAATACTAGTTTTGATAGTTTTCTTTTTACCATTTTACTTTTGATAAGGAGGAAGTTCTGAGATTAATTATATTTTTTAATAGGTATATATTATAGTAATTTTATTAGGTGAGATCATAAGCCATTTGAAGCTAGACCACTATGGAAAACCTGGAAGCACTGAAAGGCCATTTCGTCCTATTGTGGGACTACTATTTAAATGAAGAATATTCTTTTCGATAAATTCTCTTCAGATTTTACAATTATATATTCAAATTAATAATCCAAAAATTGGTCATGTTTAAGGGTGAAGTGTATCATTTAAAGCATGTGAATTTAAGATTGTCAAACAAAATAGAATAAAATTGTTACTGTTGATATGAACCATATAGAATGTTAACTTGAATCGGTATATATGTTAAGTGAAAATTTAAGATTCATGATCAGAATAAATATGGGTCAGATAGGATGAGAGAAATAATAGTGCAATTACAATCTGAACAAATGTTTAATGGAAGACTATGTTGTGTGAAAAATTAGTAAAACGTAATAAGGAGGGATGAATGCGAAGTGAATGAATCATGTTATTGGGGAGATTAATAATGATATTTAACCAATAATAATAATACAAAGATTTGTGAATAAAGATAACAGAGAAAATTACATGTGACTACGAAAGGTCGTAAGCACAATAGTCAAATTAGGTAATTCGATAGCTAAGATTACTATTGATTAATTGCCCTTGAGGCTGGCTAGGAGAGGAGAAGTGGTTGAAGATATTTCTTTTGTACCCATAGCTCCGGTTTCCTCATCCGGTTGGGTATTACTTCATCCGTTTGAAGGACTTTAAGTTTGACAAGCTTTGGCAAAAAATTACTGACCCCAAAAATAATTGAAAACGATTGGTTTATACTGGCGCAATGATCAGTTTGCACTAAATGAACCAATATCGAGCTGTTCACTTTCTTCACCAAACCTATATATTTCATCAAAAATTTACCGATTTTTGCAAGTAATTTTGTTCCAAATCTACTGTAAGATGTCTTAATAAGTATACTTTTCAAATTATGTACAGAACAGAAGAAATTCATATGGGTGATAAAAAAGTATCCCTTGAATAATTTATTTGTGGGTCGTATTTACAATTAGTTTTTTTCCTAAGTGTGTTTTTATATTAATGGTTGTAGATGAAATATAAGACAAGACCATTTAAAGACGGGATAACCTTGGATTTGAATGTATTTCTACTGTACTTGTATACCTTGGATTATTATCGAAATTAGATTGCTATGTAAACTGCCCACAGTTTTATTGTCGTAATGATATTGATAATGGTTTAATTAATAATAGTGCATGTTAATCTCCTCAGAGAATAAAACTTTAAAGTACTTAATAATAAACTGGGTGACTAATCGGAAATTTATGATTGGGAAAAATGAGTACCATAATTGCTTTTAGCGAATTTAATCATGTGTTTTTCATCATTTCTGCAGCCAAAATATCTCACTTTTCAAATAAATTACTTTCTTCGAAACTTGTGTGTGTTAAGAAGTAAAATACTCTTATCATCTTCAATAATTACAAAAACACCCAACAAATCTCAATGCTGAATGTTCACACACTTTCTGTATTCTCATTCAAATTGCAGGAGATGCCAAAATGATCATATCGGACTCATTATCAAACCAACAGGTTTTACTCAACCGAATTAAACGTTACCGACGTGATGTTGTACACAATGCAACTACTTATGCTCACTCCACATCTACTTACAAAAGTGAGAACAACTATAACGATAATGGTATCCATGAGGTCATTGTGTTAGCTGAATTCCTTATGCCTGAAAACATCAAATTTACAGATCGTTTGGTTACACTTGAGAATGTATTCAGCGACTGCAAATTAGCCAATTATGAGACTGCATTAACTTTTCAACAAAGTACTGGACAAGATAGAGCAGATTGTAATGATCATTCAGATGTTATTGATCTACTATCACCAGTTGATGGTGTGCTTATTGATTGGGAGCATATGGATGGAATAACAGTGAGTGAATTTTGGAAGTTATTCGAAACTGTGTTATTAAATGATACGCTTAACGATGATTTGTTAGTGAATAGTCTAAAGAATATTGATACAACTCCATATGGTGATTCATGGAAATCATTATATTATGAAGGTGACGGTAAAAAATCATCTACTCGATCATATCCAGCCGGCAGAGAGGTGAAACATGATAGATACTTTCAGAAGCAAACATATTCACTAGATGGTGCATCAAGGAAACGGATATTGTTTAAACAGTTCAATTCAGCAGAAACACATTCGTTTAACTGGACCAATTTTATTATAGCATTGAACTTCTGTTACTTAATGATTACGAACTTTTATATATGAGCTGATATATTCTTTAACCAGAAATGTCAACTGTTCTGTAGTTTAAAAAGAAAATATTATTAACCCGAGATTTACTTTATTTTCTAAGCCTTTATAATTTTGAACCACAAGGCTACAAGTGTTGATGTAAGTGTTCTAACATCTTGTAATGACATAAGCCAACAAACTATTTTACACTTTATAAATGATTCTCACTGTAATTAATCCTTAATTCGAACATGTTAAATTACTTTATTCTACTTTGAGAAAAACTTTATTCTTTGAAGACATCACACATGATTCCCATTTTTATTAACATCTAAATATATATGTTCATAATATTTTTCATGTCTTGTAAACAAGCGTTCACTTATTTCATAGTGAATATGTATATGTCATAAATAACTGATAAAACAAATCATTCTATCAAATGTTCAGTGGCGAATTTATAATTTTATTTATTTGAACACATAAATAGCGGTAGAAAGGGGCACTAAATACATATGTGCCATAAAAGTCGCTTGATTTTTGTGTGGCCTGCGATGCTGCTCAAGTGCCCAGACCAAAGCAGGTGGTTTTCTAAGGGGGCAACACCCAGAGCTTTTGACCTAAAAGTTTGGTCCACAAAGCAGTGTAACGACGTCAGGGGCTGCAGTCTCGTGGTAGCTGGTGACCAACGATTGGTTCATACGCCATTTGTTCCTTCAGGACCTTGGAGCCCATGTGCACTATTGCTTTGGAATCAGAGTTTTCCGACTCCCCTAGGTGAACTCTCCGTGTTCACCAACCCGGTTAAGTCGCCGGACATTCACTTTTCGTCCTCTCAATCTCGTAAACAACACCCTTGTCACGAGAAGGCAGTGAGTATAACTTCCCTGACAGAGGCTATATACGTGTGGCCATGTGAGAGCATTTTGAGAGAGCGAGCGGACCCTCTACACCCTCGGCCGTACCAGGGCATTTGGGGGCAGCCTATTTATGAGCGGACATGACAATCTTTGTTATACTATGTTATCTACTTTCATAATTTTCAATCAGCTTAATTATAGTGAATTCAATTTAGTAAATATTACAGTCAACTAAACCAATATTATTACTGAATTAATCCGCTTACAATTTAAGGGAGATAAATCTAAAATAAATAAATAAATAAACAAGTAAATATACACATATTTTTGTTTAATTATATTAGTCGAAATTAGTAGCAGTAATGTTTGTGTCAATGTACACAAACAATCTATTTTTTAGCCTGTCGATTAAATAAATTAATTTCATAATTGATTAAAAGATTTCTTGGCAAGATTCTTACTGTAATCATTTCATACATTATTAGAAAAAAACATCTAAGCTCTCATGTGCGAGACCGATAGGTTCCGGGTTCGAATCTCGCTAAGCGGGTTTGTGGATGAGCACCGTTGAGGAGTCCCACAATAGAGCAAAATGGCCGTCCAGGGCTTCCAGGTTTTCCATAGTAGTCTAGCTTCAAATGACTAATGAATTTAACTACTAAATTACTCATTTCTCCACAAAATCCCTTCTGATATATATGTTAAAAAGACTTAACTACAAAGTATTGGTTTACTTATAATGTTTACGCAATATACAAAGTAGATTGCGTAATAAAACAATGACTTTTTCACAAGTTCAGTTATGAATAGTTAGTTAAATATTTTAATCAAATACTTAATTAACCATCAACAGTAACTTTTTCTATTGAAGAGATATCATTATTATTTGTAATAATCTTGCTAGTAATTAAATAATAATGGATGATAGTAGTTGACATGTTGTAATTAGGGTCAGATTTTTCAGTCACGTAATCTATTTTCTATCTGCTTATTAATGATAATTGTTTGAAGAAGTATATTTGATTATGTCGTAAAATATTTGACATAAACGTTTTATTCACCGAGATATTAGATGTTTATTCTTAATAATTTCTTTTACATTAGTTTTAAGTTGAATAGAGGAGAGGAATCATGAATGATTGCTGATAGTATAGAATTATTCCTGATCAGATGTAAGCCATATTCCAACCTAATATCTGAATTTAAAAATGAGTTTGTGCGATTAACTGAAGTTCTCTAAGGAACTATTAATATCAGGGAGGTTTAGAAAAGTGTTTAATCAAAGCAATGTGCTTACGTGACACTGAAAAAGAACAAATTCGGAATGATCGAAACAAAAAAGTAAAAATATACTTTAGAAGTAAATTTTCCTAATTATATTTGTGAACATTCGACTGAAAAATAACTATAATCGTCTCTTGTATAAAATTTGAGGAAAATAGGAATAATCTTTTCAGAAAAGTAAGGATCGTTAAAAGTGTTGTACATAAGTTGTTTTGAAGGGGTATTGGAATGTAAAGGTCAAGTGATTAATAATAATTATTTTTTTAAAATGTATTATACTAAAAAGATTACAAGTCCTACTTATAGCTACTTTAAAGTAAATTTCTAGATTTTCACTATCTATAGTATTATTACAGTGACTTGCGATCGTAAAACTGATCATAAAGTTTGTAGTCATGAAGTGTCTTGACAAGATAACTAGTAAAGTAAGCATAGTATTGATTCAGGGGTTAAAGGTCAGTTTATTAATATTTTACAAAACATCAAGTTGTTTCTAGATCAAAGTACAAACTAATATCCAGCTTAGAATATAGACTAGTTGAAAAGGATTTATTTGGTAAACCAATAATCTACTGGCTTACTGGTTGCACTTAAATTACATTTTGAAATGAAACTTAGGGTGTATAATAATGGTTAAAAAGTTTACACTTTTGTTTTCCATCATTTTCAACTGGTACAAATATACTATTTCTCTACATAAAGTAATCTAACTTAACTAAGAATCATTTATTCCCGAGATGATCAAAGTTAAGATTCACTGGTTACAGAAGGTGATTTGTCTTTCTCTGTGTTTGCTTCGAAAAACATATTGAGCTTGTTTATAGAGAATTCATTAATTTATCGGATGGTCACATTTATTTCCTGTTACGTAGTTCAAGGTGTTTTTGACTGTTGACATATATTTGTTTCCTCAGTGTATTGTGCAATGACACCAAGAGTTTCTAGAATTAAAAAGAATAGATCATTAGATCAAGCTTTGGATATGTTTTTCACCTCATAGTGATAGTTGAATAATACAGTTTCACCATACACCAGATAGACGTATGTTAACCCCTGCCAAAATGAATTTAAACTCGAAGGTCGATTACCTTAGTGTGACTATTTCCACTGATCTTTCTTGGTCTTCTCATGTTTTATTGCTATCGAAGGAAGTTTTCCGACTGACTTACTACATAAAGAGGCTGCATGCTTCTGGGATTACTCGGTACTTACTCTTATGATTTGTTGATTCTTGCATATTACCTATTATTCTTTACTATTCTCCATTATTCTTCCCTGGGATTTTGAGAAAGGACTTTGCTGTATTGCGGAGAGTGCTGAAGATAGTTAGCAGACTGTGTGGTAAATCTTTTCAAATCATTATTAATTTGGTTGTGGATAGACATCTAAAATCATGCAAACTCCTGGCAGGTGTAATCTTATCAGATAATAACAATCTACTTCATTTATATCTTCCTCCTTGTATATCTTCAGGTAGAACAAGACATCAATACATTCGAATCCATGCATGAAATCAAAGGTATAAAAACTCTACAATACCTTATCTAGCAAAAAACAAGTTGTTAAAGTGGATATAGTCAATAACTTGCATTTTTAAATATGTTTCTGACTGGAAAAGTTGTACTCATTTTCTTTTTTTTTTGAAACAGAAAACTAGTTGAAATATTTTGTGCTGAGAATTCTGTATTGTACCAAAAGTATAATATTAAATAAAGCCACTAGTAACAATAATACCCATTTCAAAAGTGAATGACTATCTGAACTCAGTAGCTAAGTTGATAATAAGATGGCGTTTGGGGCAAAAAGTACTGGGTTTGAGTCCTAGAATGAATATTAACTGTAGGATTCAAGTGTGTCCAGATGACGAATCCCAAACATTTGTCCTAAATTCCATAGCTATCAACATCCCAACTATTTTATCTTAGGTTGAGTAAATGTATTTGAAGCGAAGTATCTTCTGTCTAGTAACATATAAATATACTTTAATACTTAAAAAAAATGTAAACTGATTAATAGGCCTTATTGAATGTATAATTATTTCAACTCAATCGTTGACATTTTTCATAACCAAGGAGAGGGTTAAAGACTTTTTTTCTTAGCCATAAAATCTGTCAGAAGACAGATTTCAAAATCAACATTATTGTAATCCCTTTATATAAATTGTTGTCTATTGAGTTGCATGAAACAAGTATAACGTTAAATTATTGTTTATTGATTAGCAACGGATTAGTGAAAGTAAGTATAGTCCAAGAGTACTTTAGTGGATTTATTAATAGGAAAGGCTTTTTTAAGAATTTATTAGTCCTCTTGTGTAACATTGTTACAAGGTTCCATGATAATATTAGATGGACTATTGGTGTGAGTCGCAGCAGTTTGATTTCGAAGGACTACTGTGAAGAAATAAATAAACATATCGAGTAAATGAAAATTTCTTGAAATTAATATTTATCAAAATTCTACCATAGAACAAAGCTGTGAAGTAAAATAAGTAATTTTAAACTGATCTTAGTGTTTAGGATGAATAATTTGGTACCAAAAACAAAAAGCTATTTTATTCCTGAAGACTCTTTTGCGTAATTACAAACCCTAAAAAATAACTTAATCATTTTTTAACCCGTGGTAACAATACTGCTATTTACTAAAAGCCCACTCATGTTGTAAACGTTTAGCTTTTAATATGAAATCAAGTGATACTACTTAGTTATGTAAAACAAAATAGATGAAGAGCAGTTTAGAGCTGCAACTGGGTGGTTGGAAGGAAGTGACATTAACCGCTAAGTACATGTATATATATCAGCGATCAACAGGGTTCCTATACAACAATTAATTGTTAGTAAATAGTGACGTCAACTGGAATTTTAAGATATTGATTTATCCATTAGTCGGTTGATGACAGATAACAAATTCTAGTGTATATCAACTCGGAAAAATTTTAAGGGACAATTCAGAGTAGTTAACTACTCATTCTTAGCAAGATACAGATATATAGACTATGATGCATACTTTTGGCGATTAACTAACTCGCAGAAATCGATTACTATTCTATAGATTGTATTTTATGTCAATGTTCAAATAAACTTTTTACACCACGTTAGTGTAAACTACTTTGCGTATTATAATTACTTACGATTGCACAGCTTTTTAAAGGTCTATTATAGAAACATTTTAATTTTCAATTATGAACAAATAAAAATAAACGAAGACTACAAGATTAATTCAGCGAGTTGTGCAAATTAAAACTTAGTTGAATATTTCGCCTTTACAAACTAGTATGCAGAATCCGTAAATTTCATTCACTGATTCTTCATATATTTCAACGAATTAACCCCCCCCCCCTACACACACACACACGAGAGTATAAATTCGTTTTAGTTTCTTCAACTTTCTTAAAGTCGATAGATATTTAATACAGAAAATAATTTATAGACAATTTCTTTTCTTTTACTCAATCCATTAACATTTTTAAATCATTATTCCAGTCTAACTGTCATCACCTATTTACTCTCTTTTTTTTCATGTTTCTTCCGAACTCATCATAAACACGAAAAATCCATTTAACCAAATCAACAAACTTCATTTTTGGTAAACGAAAAAAAAAATCAAACGAAAGAAAGAAAAACAAACATACTAACAAATTTACTTATCTCAATAAATTTACTATTTTTACATAGAAAGAGAGAGAGAGAGTGAGAGAATGAAGCTTTTTCTAGAAAAAAAAAATAAAACAATTATTACTTATGAGTAATAGCTATGAGTTAGGGACAATTTCTCTGTTCTATATTTATCATTCATATTAGATAGAAATAAAATTAAATAAACATCAATTTATAGTTTTTCACTTAGGCAATTATTTCCTGTTTAATGTTTCATTCCTATCAATGATAATCATCTTTTCATTGAATATAAACTCATTCATAGTTCTCTATTAGTTAAACGAAATAAACTTTAGTTTAGATTTTCTTCATACAAAATATTTTTTGTTGTTGTTGTTGTTGTAAAAAATGTTGCACTTTTGATTTTATGTTTGTGTTTGGTAGTTATCCCTGATTATGTTAACAAAAGTGATTAAGTAATAATAGGGAGATCTAATTGCCTACATAGAAATATGTTAAAGGATATATAGTATATGTATATATTTTTCCTAAGTATTATATTATAAGATGAAATAATCATTACCTTTTAAAGTTGGTAGATTGTAGTGAATAGGAACACGAGTGTGAGCATTCGAATATATCTGGTACACGAAATTACAAAATATCTCACTAACATCTAAGTATCATAAAGTAAATAGTTAATTTACAAAATATCAACCAATTGTCTTAAACTTCATTGTTTCTTTTGAAATCTCAGTTCATCGTCTTAGATTTCATTGTTTGTGCATTTTCATACCAACTGCTTTCCGTTCTCGTTCTTTTCTTCTTGATCGTCTACTCAAATACATTCTATTCCTGACAGTCGTTATATACTAGTTATGTAGATATAAGTAGCTCACACTACAAGATGAGCTATTGTCATGGTGAAATGTTTAACTGTTGAGATGTCTAGCAAATGATTTCATATTGTCATGTTTGTATATTTCTTTTGGTTCAAAATAAGTAGTTGGATGCACTTATTAAATGAAAATGGATTGACGCAATTAAATAGATTGAACAGCTAATATGTAAAATTTTAATGACAACAAACGCACACAAATAAGCAGAGATGAGATGCGATCTTCAAGAGAGTATTTAATCTCTCAAGAAAAAAAGAATTAAATGAGTAAACATTAGTGTGTATAGTATTTCAAGAAATAAAATAATCACCAGGAAAGTGTAAGAACTAGTCGGTGAAGTGTAAAAGGTTTAAATAATAGCTATTATTAAGACCTTTAACAGATCATAACATTGAATCAAGTTAATCTCAACACCTATAAACACATGTAAGCTGGAATCACAAGCTGAATCGAATTTTCTTAACAATAACAGAAATTTGATATCATTATCAATATGAAATACTTCTTTAATAGATACCATCGATCCATTATGTTTTCAACTACGTTAAGGTCTGGATAAATAAGACAAAGATCTTAAACTTCAGATCAGTGATCAATATTGATTACTTATAGTATTTTTAAATTGCGTAAGGATTATAAAATAGTGAAATGAGAGGTTAATATCTATTAGGTAGTAGATGAGATAATTACATAAATTAAAAATTTTGGTAAGACCGATTTTTGAAATCTAAATGGTGAAGTTTTTAACCGGATAAAATATGAAGTGTAATTACTTATAGTGATGATTACGTAGCAAACAGTATAGATAATTATAATAAATAGTATATACTATCGTGAACAGCATTTCAGGCAATATGATTTGTTCATTTTAAAGAGGTCAGAACTCATATTTTAGAAAATATCATGACTCATTCAGATTTAGTAAATTTCATGAATTCATCATCAATATTCGTCAACAGTCGTAGATTAAAATGAAAAACAAACAAACAATTGTTGCTCTTAATTTCAACTATACGATAAATCTTGATTCTTTAATCTTGAACAAAAATAACTTTCATTAGTTGAAATCATGAGTCAGTTGAAGCTAGACCACCATGGAAAACCTGGAAGCACTGGAGAGCCGTTTCGTTCTAATATGGGACTCCTTAGCAGTGCACATTCACGACTGATAGGTCCTGGGTTCGAATTTCGCGGGGCGCGGGGTCGTGGATGAGCACTGTTGCGGAGTCCCATACTTGGACGAAACGGCCGTCCAATGATTCCAGGTTTTCGATGTTGGTCTAGCTTCAAGTGACTCATGATTTCAACTATTAATATTCATTTATAAAAGCATTAAAAAAGAAAGATCCAATGAAATGATAATTTTCAGGCATAGTTCACATTTAATGAGTTTACAAAAATTCCATTTAACCTAACTACCTTCATTTATCTTTATACTTCACTATAACATTCAAAGTGATCTTCACACATTTCTTGGACAATGGATTTACTTTAGAATAACAAAATGAGAATCATGTTTGGACATCTGTGTATATCATCAGTTTTTAATATTAATTACAATTCAAAGTAAAATATTTGTTTTAAGAAATGTTTCTTTACAAAATTAAAAGTTATAAATACTCATACTGTAGTGAACTATTCTTCAAGTTCTTATGACAAAATAAACAAACCTATACATATATATGGACAAATAGAACATTTTATTGAACATTTAGATGACTATTACCTATGAATTTCCGAAATTTTATTCACATTATTAATTATTTACTTTCTTCTTTGAATATTTAACCATCCTGACCTGGAGATGTTCAACAATATAATAAAATAAGAACATACAATAAAGTTTATTTTAGAGGGAAATATTGTTTTAAAGTGTAGATTGAACTTCATATCATTATAAAATATTAATTTAAGGAAATAAAAGGCTTCATTTTTGGTGTTGAGTTCAGTTGAAAAGAAAAAGTAAAGTTGTAGAGATTGTCATTAATATAAGTGAATTACAAAACTTGGTCAAACGATGTACTGAGCTATTTATTTAGAAAAAGATTTTAATAATAATAATAGGGTTTTAAATTTTTAACTATTTCACCTATTCATAATACTGATCAGTTAACTTGGCTTTAGCCTATACATAATTCTGTGGAATAATTAGAAGGTTGTTTATAAAGTTGATAAATTATAGGTGAAACGGGAAACTAATGATCCTCCATTGCAAAGACAGGTTATCAAAGCGAGTAATGTTGACGGCCTTAAACCATATAAAGAAAATGGCAGGTTCAGGACAGTAAAATCCACTCGTTTGTTGATATCAGTCTATTAAAGTTATTTTAAATGCTTGATGAAGGATAACCTTAACTTTTAAGTTAAGTATTACCCTAGCATGGTGTCATGTTCATCTAGATAAAAGATCGTTAACAGCGTCTCTCAAGGTCATATCATACATAGTAGACAATGATAAGATTTAAACAGCATAGTAATATGTTTGATTATGTATAATAAAACTAGGGTATTGTTTAGCGGTTTTAAATCTTGTATTTTAATAAACATCAGTTTATAGAAGAAAACCAGCTCGAAGTAAAAGTAAATTGTTTCGTTCTTCAATGAGATCTATGCTTAAATTATTACATGACTATTACAAGTAGACCGTAGAATAAAGAACACTTAAAAATCATGAAACAGCATATGAACAAAAATTCATTCATCTGATAAGACATTCTTTTTGTTAAATGCTCCACATTTTACTATCCGAGTTTGTGTTACTAATGTGAAGTAAGTCCTTAAGAATAACTGGGGGTCTTTACTTATCTCAAAAGAAACTGAATTAAAAACAGCACACAACATCTAAAACAACTCACTGACTGTTATTATAGTTATTAGTTTCAGTTACCACAAGGCTATTTGCCATTAAGCATTTTAAGGATTAGTTTCACATCCAGTAAAATGTATAGTTTAAAAAAACAATCGTGTCAAAATCTAGATGATTGAGGTCAGCCTCTTCTCTCTAGACGTTTTAACTATTGTATCTTAAGCATTGTAACTACCTTCTAGGATAATATAAACGTCTTGCCATTTTCTGTTGTTATGTATTGTTCTAAGCAAAACTTTATTTAATTCTAGTTAGTTGTTGTTAAAATAACCTGTGAATAAATTTAAGAATCTGATTCTATGTACAGGACCAAACGTTATAATCACCTCATCGATTACATCACTTTGTTGTGTTTGTCCCCCTATCATTTTCTTTTTATTTACAGATATCAACTTAACTAAATTACAGCTGATTAGATTGAATAATCAGCTACAAACAGTACAGAATAGAATAGCATTTTTTGCCGGTCTCGAATTTAATGTTGTTGAAAAACCATTGGACGAAAATCCTAAATTGATAATGAACAAAGTTATCACGAATTTGGGCAATGCATACAATCCAATAACTGGGGAATTTATTGCACCAGTAAATGGTATTTATATTTTATTTCTAGCCATTTCAGCTCAAGGGAAATCAAGAGTAAGTGAATGCTGTACTCCTGATTTTTTATTTATCTGTTTAAAAAAGGTCTAGTTTGTTAATGGCATTGAACTTCATAAAGATCACGAATGTAGAGTTAACACATATATGGCAGTAAGAATCACACATACAGTTACCCAATATCCACGGATCGATTATTACAGATGAACTATTGTCACGACAGGTCAATAGTGATTGAAATACTACAATACCAGCGATTCGGACTGTTATTTTGAATAACGAATATTTTATTCTTGAGGTAGTATGAGTTTCGTTCAGATAGCAGATATGTCAGAACATGAATCGTAAAACGTAGAATAATGGCTTGTTGAAGATACCACCTACCTTTAGACACCAATAAACGTGGAATTTACTGGAATGATATAGGTTGTAAAATGTCATCAACACAGTTTTGAATGGGTATTTAGATAACACTAAAAAAACCCACCGTAATAATTCTATGGATGAATATATAGAGTGTGAACTGCTTATTCATCGGCTTGATAATTTACTTCTAGCTTTAACAGTATCATCATATAAGTTTGTTTTGATACTTTTCAAGCAAAATCTAACAGAAATCCTAACCAGAAATTTACTCAGATTAAAAATAAAACCAAATAAATGCATAATACTTTGTCATAAAAGAAAAAAAACCCACATTATACCGAATATAAGAACTGAGTGAGAGAAAATTCTTATGCGTAAACTAATGAAGTATAATTATACCCTTTACTTCTTCCTTCTCTTCTAATACCGTTACCAGTGTTACTGGTTGAAATGAATGTAATGTGGTTTTTTTATGACCATTTGAAAGTTATAATTTTTACAGCGCATTATTATGAACAAATTAAAAAAATAATAATGAATTTTATTTTTGTTCAATTTAAATATTCGAATTTGAATTTCATTGTTAGTGATTAGAATACTACAAATAATTTAAAATATTCTTCTGTAAAAAGAACATACAACACCCTATGATTGTTCTCCCCTCCCCTCCTTCCAGCCAAAACAATTTGGTGAGGCCTAGTGGGCCCTTCTGGAGAAGCAGCTACATCGAAGCACGGCACAACTACCAGAGCGAAATAGCTGTTTTTGCATATATATATATATATATTTCTTAGATCTTGTCGTTTTTACTCCAGTAAAAATTGTACAATTTTTTTTGTAGCATTCGTAATCATTTGTGGGTATCGGTATAGTGGGTGATTAGCCCGGTCTCTACTACCCGGTTTACTGCTCACGTTAGTTCATGGGACTAAATCACACTATCCAGGAGGCACGATGAGAACGCATGAGTCAGGTTTTGTTATATAAACATTAGTGATATGAGCTGTGGTAGTAGTGGTGGTTGCTTCAGTCAACTAAAGATATTTGAACATAAATATTATGAATAAAAACCGTTTCACTAAGGTGGTAATCAAGTAGACTATTTCAACTTATTGTACATGAAATGCAAATTAACATAGGTTAAATGGATAACTTGACTAACTGTAGTTAAGCTCATCATGATTCGCCTGATTAATTCAAACTTTCGCTGTTAATAATCTTTCTCTGGTGACTTATCAAGCTGATGTGATCAGTTATTTCGTTGTATAAGTTGATAGTTACGGGGATCGCGAATTCTTCTCATGATAATGTGACTGGAGATAAAATTTAGGATACTGATTTTAGTACTGATAATGGAAAGTGAACTAAGGATCTAGTTTCTAGGTTTCGTGAAATGTTTTTTTATCATATTAATTTCGGAATCTCATTTCCTTAATTTCTTACAAGAAGACCAGACAGTACATTGCGAAAATCATTATACTAAAACCAACTTGGAACAAATAATAAACGAATTTTCATATATGCGTTCCATTAAACAGTTAAAGAAACCTGATTATTATTATTAGTTTTATTCACTATTATATTTTCGGTACAATATAGAATTCTCAGCACAAAGTATTACAACAAGTTTCTGTTTCTTACTTCTTGATCGATCCTCACGATAAATGTTGAGTGATAGGCAGTTAGAAGTTAGCAGTCCAGTCAACTGACATCTAGATAATGTACATTATTCACGCTGCATATTGCCTGCAACCACAATATCTCTGATTGGTTTTTTTTAACTTGTACAACGAAAGATTGTACACTTTTCAAAAACGCACCTGAATAGTTTAGGAGAATAATAGCCATAATAATGTATTAAAACAAACAAAGTTGGATAACTTGTTGAAATATCTAGATGGCAGGAACGGATAGCATAGATGTTTAAGCAGGCCACCAATTTTAATCACCCAGGGCTATGCAAATATGCTCCGAAGACACGTTAGATGAGAAACTATCCAAGCTTTAACAAATATTTATCAAAAATGCCTATCCATCTAGATTTATTGAAAGATGAATAAGATCTAAACCACAGTCTGTAAGAACTGCAGTTTCTAAGAAAACTTTCTTTATGAACATTGAGTTCAAGGGAGACACTACTGCGGAAATTTTGATAGATCGTCAAACGAAATTTCAAAGAAAAACTTTTTATGCCATTAGGCTTCTCATCGTCCTTCCCAGCCGCTCCATCATTCGTGGATTCGTCAATGACAAAGTCTCTCATTGGGCCACATCAATGTGTATTTAAAAGTTCACTTACCCTTGTGAAACAAGTCCATTGGTCGCACGATTTGAGTAAATTTAAAACGAATCTTTAAACATTAACCTGAATGGTTTTTTGAAGGCGAATGTAAAACCATCAAGAGTTCAATATTAAAACCACGTACATTAATGACTTATGCAATGCATAGCTGTTTATTTGTAAATTGACAATAAACATGTTTGTGTAACTAGGGTAAATGCTATCAATAAAAAGAAAGTTTTCTTCTCTCAATCGTCTTTAATTTTTCTTTAGTGATATAATGGGTCACTTTCGTCATGTTAAATTCTTAATTAACGCATGAAAAATATGTAGTATTTAAATCTTTGTCTGTTTGAAATTAAAAACACCATTGCTCATAATAATTAACCCATAATTCATATTTCTTTTTTATGGAAAAATAAAATGAATACCTATAACTTAGGCGGTTGTACGTCTAATGCACAACGAAAAGCAAATATTTGATGTTTGGTCTGAGAGCTCTCCATGGGCAACAGCTACAAATCAAGGGATTCTACAAATGTATAAAGGTGATCGTGCATGGTTGGCCATACGTGATGGAGCTTATTTTCTACATGGTTATATGTATTCAACATTCTCTGGGTATTTATTATTTGATATAAATAATAATGAAACAATTGACATCCCATAATTTGTCTAATTTTATTATTGACATTATTAATACTAATAATAATCAGGAGATTGAATATTCGCATTTTCCAAAGTCCCACTGAACAAATGTTAAGCTACTATTTACAATACTGTATTCTAAAAGAGAATTTAGGAATATAACTTATAAACTACCGCTTCAGTCACTTGCTGATAAACTTCGTGTTATTTTACAAAACATATCTACACACCAAAATATTTCTTATTCTACCTCAGTGTTGATCTCCATGAATATTCTTCCGTTTTAAAAATCACATAATAAATCTATGGGATAAAATACCATCTTGATTTATACTATATTAAAAAATATATCTCCAGCTACAAACAGACGGTTCATCTATCATTCTGTTTAACAGACTTATTTGGATAAAACTTATCGAAAGTCACATGCTCAAACTGATTCTTAATTCTTACAGTTACAGGATTTAAAACGTTCTTTTTTTGCTGTCAAAAAAATGCAATTAACTGTTCACAGAAGCTCATAATGAAGAAAGAATAATTTACATGCAAAGTAAACCAGATATATTTAAAGATATACATACTAATGTAATTATATAGTTCAAATAGCTTAGAGTTTAACTGTAGCTCATATTCAAACAAATAAGAAATGTAGGGCTTTTCAACTAATAACTAATGTCAAAGAGTATATAGGTATCAGTGATGGTTTCAAATAATTTGAGCATTGAGTAGAAAGTTGATGATAAATATATTTTTTTGTGATAACTCAATGAATAGAAAAGTGCATTTTTGACGTTTTGTGACTTTATGTAAATCACTTCTTTGGAGTAAATAAATAACCGAAATAAAATTAACACAAGTACAAAACAAACAAAGTAATACATATTTAGTATAATCAAAATCATAATAGGTCTAAACATGTCAATGTCAAGTTACGTTTTTGGCCAAGGTGATTTTGTAAGACATACCACTATGTTCATTTGTACGTTACAATGTGGGCATAAAAAATGTTTGCATGAAGTGATGGGAATGAAACTAGGTGTGTGTGCAGACTTTGTGAAAAATAAATAGGTTTGAGTGTGCTTTTTGGATAAACAGTCCAGGTTGAATGGATAGCCAAGCCCTCTTTCTCATGGAAGGCAGAAGGATTTAGCATTATGTGAAACGCTTAGGCTACTCGCTTCCCTTTATAGTTGGAAAAGCTTTTCTGAATTATTTTGATATTTTTAATATCAATTTTGTGATTGCTGAAAATAGCATGTATTGCTGTTGCTGATGTGATTCAAATAAAAGTAAATATTACACAATTAGTGCCAGAATTTCATTAACGTAACTCATGGTTATTATCAGCACTTAACAAAACTAGTGAAATGCTGAGAACACATTGATGCAAATATATCAATAAGGAAATCAACAGTGATTGTCTATTGGACCGTGTGAAAAACCATGAGTTAACTAGTAACTAGCAGACAATGTGTAATTAGAAGCATGTAAATTTTAGATAAACTTTCTTGCATTACACTGAGTTGTAGTTGACTAATTTAAATTGTTAGATTTTAAGGTAATTCGTTATAGGTAACTATTGGAGATAATCTATTTTTCATTATTAGCTTGTTTCGAAAACGTAGCTATTAAAAGTACAAGTCATTCATTTTACCTAGTGATTATCTTTACTTTATGTTATCTGTTTTCACTGCTTATAACTCTACTAAATATCCACTGACTAGCTTATATTACTTCGCGCAATATATTTGTATAATATTTCAATGATGGATTTGTCTACCACTTAGATATTAGTAGACAAACCCATCACAAATTTATATATATATGTATATTCCAAGGCCGAAATCAGACAAGGCTGGTCACTCTTGTCCTTTATCTTTCTTCTGGTAGCCGCTTGGATTACGAAGACCTCCATATCTCAGGGGCAGCACGGAACACAATATACAACTAGCATCCAGAGACAATTCGAAGACGACCTTGCTCTTCTGCCTCACATACACCAACAAATGCAGAATAAAACAGCAAGTGTATCAGGAGCCTCCGAAGTAGTAGGCCTCAACATACACAAGGGAAAAATTAAGATTCTGAAATACAACGGAATGAACACCAACCAAACCAATCACACTTGATGGAGAAACTCTGGAAACTTTCACGTACCTGGACAGCATCGTCAATGAACAAGGATGATCTGATGCAGACGTAAAGGCAAGGATTGGAAAAACGATTGCAGCATCCCTATAACCGGAGAATATATGGAACTAAAAACAATTGTATGCATGCTAATATCAAAGTCAGAATCTTCAAAATGGACGTCAAGACAGTCCTACTGTACAGAGGTGAAACTTGGAGAACTACTACAGTCATCATCAAAATAGTACAAGTATTGATAAACAATAATCTACACAAGATACTCAGTGTTCGATGACCGGATGCCATCAGTAGCAGTCTAATGTGGGAGAGAACAAACCAGCTTCCGTCTGAATAGTAAATATGGAAAATAAGTTGAAGGTGGATAGGACATACATTGCTGAAATCACCGAACTGAATCACGAGGCAATCACTAACTTGGATTCGTGTAGGGAAACGGAAAAGAGGAAGACCTAAGAAAACGTTGCTTTGGGAATTGGAATCAGATATCAAAAGAATGAATAGCAAATGGGAAGGATTGCACAGGACAGGCTTGGATGGAGAGTGTTTGTGAGCGGTCTATGGTCCTCTACGAGAGATAACAGGAGTAAGTCTCTATCTGGGACTTAGTGAAGAGGAGAGAAGGCTGTTAGTCTTTCACTATAATAGTCAACTCAACCGTTCGGAAATATTACCTTGTTTGTGTAAGTACCAGCTAATTTAAAGACATGAGCACACCACCTTATTTTTAATTATACAAAACTAGCTTATTAGTACAAACTCACGTTAAATGAGTGACTACTGTCTATAATATATCGGTATTACTTACCTTTAAAAGTAAACATTCAGTTGGTGAGTACTATATACCTTTTTAAGAGAAAAAATTACCGAGTAACTTCGTTAAAGATGCCATGATCATTCGAGCAACGTAAAAGTAACAAAAAATACGAATTAGAATACATGTCATTGTTGAAACTCCAAATAATCTCTGGAAAACAAGCTTACTACTTATAAGTAGTTCGGCAAAGTACGTTTATAATTTCAAGAACGTAGTCATCATTACTGTAGCCAAGTTAGCTAAACTGTCCCCATCAATATCCACATTGAAAAAATTGAAAGTGGCTAAAAATTAGGGGAGAAACCAAACCTTACTGATGGCAGTGTGTTTATTTCTTCTGATAGATGCTCACGAATAAATGACACGTAGGACTTTTTTATTTACCCGAGAGATATTTCACATTCATTTTGAATTTGGATAGACTTTATTCGGTCACTGACAAACCCTACAAACATTGCCACAAAAATAAACGGCAACCGTATGTATTAATTAAGGTTTGCTTGAATTCAATGATATTTCGGTATTATGTTCTCCGAACCGAATAAATGGAAATAACTTGAAACTGTCCATACTCATCTGCATTTATGATTAACCTTAGTCTATAACCTACAAGTTGACATTTTGAAGTGATTGTTTTTTTTTCGGTTGCATACATAAATGCATTATTATATCATTAGATATATTGTTGCCATACTACAATGAAGAAAAATGTTTGTACCATCACCTCCACAAACAACCTCTTGGTTGAAGATTAACCATTCGGTTCATTGAACCCTGTTAATGTTTTAAAGATACCTAAGAACGATCTCAGCGAACTCTATAATTAGTTCATGAAAACAAAGCCTTTGTTCTCAAAGAAGCGTGTACGCTAGTAAGCCGTACCTACATACACATCGTTGGAGTGCTTCTTATTAAGAGCACAGCAGAAATCATAGAAAAAATTGACCACTTACCAAAGGAAACTTCACTTTATTTTTTTTTCTGTTCAAGTTTTTTCCGGTCGAATATATGTTTATAATTTTCTACGTTCACGATACGTTGTGGTGGTTGACAGTTAATTAGCATTTATGAAAACGAAGATGGGGAGAGGGCGACTTAATCTGATGCTATGTTAAAGTGTATTTCATTTCTCAGGCTGGACCAAAGATATGAACATTAGAGAACATACTACGTTATCCTCAGATCTGACAATAGTTTTTACACATGTTAAATATACGGAAAGTTAGTCAGATGCAAAAAAATAGTGCAAAATGAAAGACATTGCGATCTAAGTAGACGTTTTTGAAGAATTACAATCAAAATTTATCGAGTGTGAATCCCATCTTTGACAGGGAAATATACAGATAAGGTAATACGATAGCGGTGGGTTCTGTTACGATGGGTGGTGTTCGAGATCTGACATTGATACACAATGTGCTACACTCCAACACGCAAATGAGTACTTGAGCGAGAACACAAAAGAAGACGAGAAAGTATACTGACTGCCGAATAATATGCACAAATACCCATTTATTCATAAACATCTCTACTCCTTGGAAAATCAATCCATCTTTTAACCAACGGTATGCATTTGTCCTTCAGGTCATTTCAGATTGTAATCACGTGACCTTCTCACTTGGATACTTCTAATAGGTTCACCATATGTAGTTCTCCATTGAGATCTTATGTTGGCCGATAACTTTCTAGTTAATCTAGAAGACGAATTACTTGTATAACATTGAAAAGTTCTCATTTTACTGACGAACTGTGAATGTCGGACTTTCCTTTTTCAAAAGACACATTGATTGTTAGAGACTGTTTAACGAAATCTATCCATCTACTAAATTCACTTGTGAGGAAGAATATCAAGACAAAATAGCATTTCTAAATGCAATACTTACTAAGAGGGTTGACAGATCACTCGGAAGGAACTCAAAAGGCTACTTAACAAGTAAAATACATAAACTTCTCTAGTTTCGTTCTGCTACAGTATAAGAAACCTAGTGAAAACTTTCATAATGGGACGGTGGCCATATACTCTTTAGGTACGATTGATGAGGAAACAAATGCTTTATGTAATACGTTAAGGGAAAACGGGTTCCCTGTGAAGTTTATAAACAAGTAATTATCTAGACAAAACATGAGGTTCCTTTTGTATCTATCAATCCAACTGATTATGTAGGGCTGGTTACATCGACAGATAATCTACAAAATTACTTTCACATACTTACGAACACCTTCCAGCGTGGTTAAAACATTCAATAGCTCGACACAATACCATCTAGTCGAAACGAGTTATACAATCAGGGTGAATAAATCATACATAATAATCTGTTGTGTTAGTTAATATCTGCTGAAATCTGTTAAACTTCGAATTCTCTAAATAGTGTAAGCAGCAGTCATCCGGATTAGAAAATCGGAGCTTTGGATACAATATTAATTTGTTCAACCGCTCCTACTAACATGACTAATTTTAGGCCCGATAAACCAAGAGCCATCCTAATCATAAGATGACCCAAATTAGCTAATGCGCAGGTAACCTTCCTCTTCGTGTTTTACTAACCTAGATTCACCCGTTCAAATATTATTTTTGTTATATTTATTAAACTAATAAATACATTAGGAATTTGAATACCAGTTTCTCCGCACTACCATTTTTTACTTTACTCATAATACATAATCATTGACCAAGCATCTGACTAGTGGTTATTTTATTTCTCTCACCTTATTTTATCTGTATTTAATTTGACTAATAAACAGATAATTTTAATTGGTTCAAGTTCACAATGCATACTAGACATTCCAACAATAAAAGTTACTTCAGTTATTTTTAGATATTAGTATCACGATCGTCACATGATAAAATGATATTCACTTTATCCAGACTACCTTTTAAACGAATTTTCGTCGCATGGATCCATCCTTTATTGAAGTGAATCTCCCTATTTTCTGAGTTACTAATAATACTATAAGTATTCACTTGTACCAGGGTCTTGTGCAATTTAAATATTTAACCATAAGTATGTAACATATGTAACACTAAATTAGTAGCTTGCAACAAATTGGATTCGAATTTATAATGATAATATATGTTCAACAGATTCCGTTTGTTACTGTCTATTGATCTATTAGCATACAAGGTCATTTGCTAACAAGCACAATAATGTAATTAATTGTACGCTATATCGATCGATAACTTAACATTACGGATATAATTATTTATAAAATTAAATAATTATATAACTGACGGGATGATCATAATAGTACAACCATAAAAAGACTCACATATTTATACTAAGCCAAATTCAATAAAACCTACTTCTATCGATCTTATCTTCTACGGCCAAGCATTCGCACCTATGGTCATTTTAACTGGAGTTAGTAACTTGGAATACGATTCCATAATTGATAACTTGTACATGAAAGAAAAATATCAGGAATTTAATCTATTATCATATGTATTTTAACAATTGAATTCATGAGCCGACTTAAGCCTGACCTCCATGGAAAACCTGGAAGCACTGAACGGCCGTTTTGCTCCTGCATTGGACTCCTCAGCGGTGCGCATACACGAATCCGCACCCGGGACTTGAACTCAGGACCTTCGGTTTTGCACGAGAACGCTTAACATCTAGAGCACTGAGCCGGCATCCAACGGTGTTAATGTCTAACTCCAACCAATCCACGAAATCGCACCACCGTCTACCATTGTCTTCAGTGAGTAACTGCCTCACAACAGACACGGTTGACGTCCACTGGTCACGGCTTCTCACTAGAACTCCAGGATATACCTCTTGAAAACAGTCACTAGTGAGCACAAAGCGATTATTAGGATGGGAGGGATTGTAGAGCTTATGGATTGGTTGAAGCTAGACATTAGCACCATTGGATGTCGGCTCAGTGCTCTAGATGTTAAGCGTTCTCGTGCGAAACCGAAGGTCATGAGTTCAAGTCCCGGGTGCGGATTCGTGTATGCGCACCGCTGAGGAGTCCAATGCAGGAACAAAACGGCCGTTCAGTGCTTCCAGGTTTTCCATGGAGGTCAGGCTTAAATCGGCTCATGAGTTCAACCATTAAATTACTACAATCTCCACAAGCTCCCATTCTAATAATTATATGTAAGTTTACTATCATTCAACTAATATTAGTTCAACGATAACTAGGGAGTCAAGCATTTCGTCGAACAACTTATTGTAACTTTTCCGTTCTGAAATCTAAGCTTTATAGAGGGATGCTGCATTATGATTTATTTCTCAAATGAATGTAAACTTATCAATGACTGTGAAACTAAGACGTGAATCAAAGTCAATGTAGTTGTTAAAAAACGAAATCACTTGACTACTCATGTCTTTAAGCTGCGATAAAGTGACAATGTATTTAATTTAATTTACTCAGATATATAAAGTAAAAGAGATAGGATTTTAAGCAACTAGTACTGAAGTAGAATTTAATCAGGGAAAAAATTAAAATTCGAAGTTACGCTTTAAAGAAATAAATCGTCAAAACATATTTACACAGTTTATTCAATAAAGATCATAAAAATAAGATTTCAGTAAAGCGTTAATAAGAACTTGATCTCTTATTTCATGCAAATTAACAACCAAAGTTAATCAACTGACTCGAAGCTATATTAAACTATATTTAAATCAATGAAAAAACCAATTCAAGCAGTAAATATGATGAAAATAATGTTTATCAAAAAAGTGATAGATCAAAGAAGAATATATACTACTAGCATAAACGTAAACTAAAATCTGCAATTAAATTCATATGATCTGATGGAAATATAGCTGACGGTAGACCATTAGGACCAATTTCAGTTTTGGATGGAATGGACCAAGCACCTAATAAAGTGCATAGTCGATCACAGTACCAAATATAATCAATCGTGTGACAGTCTTCGGTAAGTTCTACAATTCGTTTACTTTTTCTGATTTTCCATGTAGTAAATTCAGGTTCTTTACAACCACCTGCTACGTAGTAAGCACTTGTGAGCTTGTACAGTGTGTTAGAATTCAAGGAGAAATTTTGTAAAATATTAATTACTGGTTCTGTAGGTTCAGCATTGAAATCACCACAAATAAAAATAGGAGGAAATACAGTACTATTTACGGGTGCAGAAGTGGAAGAAATACGCTTGATAAATGAATTTAAATATTTAACAAGTTCTTCTCCTTGTTTTCTTCGTATCTCAGAACAATATACCTTAGCTTTTAAGTGAAGACATATTAGGTAGATATCAGGGCAGCTCTTGTTTAAGTGTCCAACATCTTTGGGTATGAAGTGACAAAAAAGAGCATAACGTGAATTGTCTTCATTGAGAGGAATCTTTTCAGATTTTATCAGTTCATAATTATCATTCCTATTTGTTGAAAACATAAAAAAGACAAAAATGGTTACCGATAAATAACAGCAAGTCCATCAGGCCCGTGATTATTTTTAACCATCAAACAAGGAGAAGACATCTTTGGTAGAAAACAAAACGAATAATTATCTCTCCCACTGCTGGCGTTGAGACTTTTTACTATGTCTTTAATTATGTCTGCTTCTTGTAAGCAAACAATATCTGGATCATAACGCAGGATCTCTTCACTGATTGATTTACATCTACGTTCAAACGACAACATTTTACAAGGACAGTATATGAATTCGTCCAACGGAACAAAGCCTGTATTTTGGAAATAAATAAAGGTCTACAGCTATAAACCTACCCTGAGCAAGCATGTTCCACTGCATAATACGTATTTTTAAGTCATTTTTATCACAGTTTTCTAGGTGGATGTAACTCCTTGAGTAGGGCTTTTCGTTTGATTCACAAACAGACATTGAACTAGAGGTAAGAAATTTATAGATATACACATATATTAGGTGCTATTGAGTAGATTAGCGTTTAATGAGAACATATTGGAAACTAGGAAACGATAAAGATTCGGGCTTCTGAGAAACATCAGAAGACTGAAAAACATAGTAGTGAATACCAAGACAGACTGCTGAGGCATTTTAAGTTTATTGACCATATGCAGAGCAAAATGAGGCAAAATTCTGATTTGCATAGTTTAAAAAATTACTAAGATTCCGATTAAAGCGACAGGCACTGATTCGCAACTATTGTAACAAAATGGCTACATGTCAAAATGTGACTAACAATCTTATAAGGCAACATATGCATCCATTTTTATTATATGTAATTGTCCAATGATGAGAAACAATTTGCTTTATATAAATTATTTATTTAGACTAAAAAACAAAGCTTTACAGCCATTTCTCGATAAACATGACAGAAAATCGCATTAGAATTATGCAAAACGCTAATTAAGAGACGCAATCATTATTACTAGTACCTAATCACAAGAAAGGGTAATGGATGTAATAATATACATGACTATCAAACTAACAAAGAGACTGCAAAATCCTGGAAAGATAAAACCCGAATCGAAAATGATGGAATAAATGAGAAAACTTTATATATGAACTGCTTTGTGTCCGCAGAGCTAATCGATACATACACGTCTTAATATGAGTGTCAATATATGGAAGACGTGTAAGAACTCATGTGTCGGTCTTAGATTTTTATCAAGGTGTTCAAGCAATTTTATGACTGTTTATAGATAGATTAAATACAAATTACGTGCAAGGTTAGGTTCGGCCTTACTGACATGAGTCTCTCCCTATGCTCACACTAGAATGTTCGTCGTTGGAAACAACTCTCAACTCCATGTACCTGGATACATAAGTAGGTAATCTTATTGTAAGCAAGATAGGTGATGAAATATAATCTGCCTTATGCCTGTTCTCATTACCAGTAGTGTTACTTTCGAGTTATTTGTCTGTGACTTATCAGCCATACTAATTTAGGATGCATACTGCTATATGACTAAAAGAGTTCTTTTGAACTGAATCTGTATGACAGCTATTTATGTCTCATCATTGACGTGGCAGGACTTCCAACACTGAATGGTAATTGCATAGAAACATTGCTAAATTTTGGTACATAGCGGTTAACCAAAGTGCTTCATAGATCCTACTCTTGACAGCGTTTTCACATATAAGTTGTCAAGACTGGAGATTGTTGAAAAAGAAGTAGGGTATTCATCCAGTAACATTGGACCATGAAATTAAGAATATTCATAGACTCCGTATGTGCAGGCTCATTGGACGTGGTTCACAGGCCTATAGTCTATTGGTTTAGTAGGTGAATACATACTAAGAACGACACTGTAGTTCGATGGAATTCACTACTGTAGTAGATGAGTTACTTAACTACATGTTTCTTGATACCTATTCCAAAAATCAAAAGCCAAGACTAAAGTAATGAATACTAAAATCATACTTCTGTGTAAAAAGTTAAACCAAAAGTAACCAGTCGATCGAAACGGTAAATTTACAAGATCTTATTCAACGTATATATATCCAGCATATAGGAAAAATAGTTAAAAATGTGTATGCAGTGTGATCTTTCGTTTCATTGTGCATTTATCAGTCCGAGTATTTTTTAAAATTGTCTAGCCTTTAATTTAAAAGATTAATATTTTGAAAGTGACTAAAAAATTTTTGTTTATAAAACAGGTGTGAGAAAGCACAAGTATTCAAAAACCAGTCATCATGCACAAAAGAAAACGCTAATCACTTGAAATGAGGAAATGTGGGAATTCTAGAACAAAGAATGGTAAATATGACCGAAAACAGTTCAAGAAACAGTACAGAAAAGTCAGCAACTATAACAATTTAACTTTCTGTCTGAAGTTTACCCCGAACGTTTATGATTTTCCAGCGTTCTAATCTAAATGCATATCTAAATGTATATCTTTGTTTGAAATCAACTTCATATTTTCCTCGCCTGTTTCTATTGAGTTTAACTTAGACAAACCATTCAGTAATTACTGTCGATTAATTGACAGCAGTAAGTTGCATGTTATTCTTTGCCCTCGTTCGTCACAGTTAGCTTGATATGGCTGTGAACAAAGCTTACAAACTGTCACTCAAAAATACTTAAAGCATTATTCCATATTTCCAAAGGGCATTATACATAAAAAAGCAGTTGTAAGAGACTATTTTAAGATATAAGTAAGGTAAACTACAAACTAGCATGACGGAACAACATATTATAACGTCATTTAATCGTGGCTAATTAGTTCTGACTTGTATTTTGTATATCTTAACAGACTTCGAGTTTTCCTACAGAAACTCACAAGAAATCCAAAACGTGGAAGGTCAATTGGAACTATTAAACAAGATAATTCTAAACACTAAAAAATCTCAATGTACAATACTCACTCGTGTTAAGTTATGGAGTAAACTATTCCTGTAAAGTAAGTGATTTAAATGTCATTCTTATGATTTAGTGATTTTTAAATGACTATGGGTGTTTTTAAACTCCACCATGAAATTAGTGAAGTTTTAGGAATAGTAGTGGAAAATTATTCTACGTAGGGTTTATTGATACGAGGACTTTTATTCACTTTCTACTTAAACGTCGTCATAGCATTTTGTAAAGATAATAATGTAAAGGTTCTGAAAAAAAATTATTGAAAACTCGTATGCGAAGTTCACCAAGACGAACATGTTTTATAAGCAAACGACACTGATGATGATCATATTAGTTTTACTGGACTGCAACTGGCTGAAGGTGTCAGATCAAACTTCATGCAAAATCGCGTTCAGAACAGACACCTTGCAACACCAGAATGCACGAACCGAACAGGACTATATGGTTAGTGAAATGTCACTGAGTTCTAGCCAAATCATATGGTACTCGGGTCGCTAAATGTCAAACAGTTTGCTGGTCCTCATCTAGGTCAAGAACGACCAGTGTGGGTCAATTAGTGGCATGTCCTGAATTGGCCCATAAAGCAGTGGTCACACTCTGTTCCTTGTACCTACTCTTACTAATATATTTCTGTAATAACATCGTTTGTATTGTACGGTCATCAAGGTAGCCATAGTATCTGGATACGACGAAAAGGGCAATCCACGTTAGATACTAAGCACGAAGTATGATTTTAATGTTTGCTAGTTGTTCACATATTCCCATCCAACTTGATTAGACCGCAGTCATCGAACTTGAACTTATTGAGCTAGTAAAATATCACCAAGGATTAGTCAAGATACATAAAGCTGTTTATTTTAAAGTGCCACTACATGATTTTAGAGGACTTATTATTAACCCACCATGTTAAATCCATGTAAAAGAAGGCCATGACTATAGAAGTCTCTCTGTCATCTGATGCTACGTTGGTTTAACCGACCACTTATACTCTTATGATAATCCCTCATAACTGGACATGTGCACATTAACCACTAATGTAGTGTCTTCGAACCATGTTTTCCAGCCACTTGAAATTATAAGAAAATGCTATATAAGAGTAACTTATTGGCTAGGGAAAATAGTGAAGTATGTTTATCTCTCTTGATAGACAACTAGTGTTGGCGTTATGTTTAGGTTGACAGCAAATGGTTAATGGTATACAACTGAAGATATCCAGCCAACTGGTCTTGATATTCTACAACTAACAGAGTTGTTGGCAGTATACTAAGCTTTAAAGGATGTCAGATACGTTACAAGGCATTTGGACGGCAGTTACTGATGATAGGCCTCGCTGTGAAGCGTTGACGGTGATGCATTACAACTACCATACATGCAAGAGAGATAGCTAGATATCAAAGTTAGCGCTGTACCTAAGGCATCCGGTACCGAGTGTGAGAACGAAAAACGATCTAGCTATCTTCTACCGACTGTATAGGGGAATAGAAGAACCACGAAAATATAAATGATGACGTCTATTCGAGCTGGAAGAAAATAATGTGATCTAGCTTTCAACTTCATCACGTTTTCATATAAATATCTGATCTGGCTCACTCTATCGTGGTAATCGGATAAGGCTGCTTCTTTATTGAATCTGCAAAACAAGTGGAATCTTCTCAAACTAATACGGTTCTAGTTGTGTCGTCGAACAGAAATAAAGGAAAATTCTCTTACCAACAAAATCATTTGCTTATGCTGTGCATGCGTATTTACCGTTGTGTGCCTTAGTCTTGTTTTATTTCAGTCATTACTTTGTCACTTTAAGCTGTAACCAGATATTATTATCCTCGAGTGATTTTCATGATCCTTATAAGGTAGTTATTATAACCTTTTACGTATTTTATTTTCACTGATATCTGCCAATTGGGTAGTTATCTCTCACAATAATGATTAATCTTCTCGTACATTATTTTCGTCGTCTTATTTTCTTCCAATCTTCTGAATTTTACGCAACACCTTTCAGAATTTCGAACCACTTTCCAATGTAACCTTTCGTAGTATTTTATAGACGTATATTTGCCAGACGAATGAACAACACCAGTAAGTGATTTCGTAGAAAGACAAATTTTCTTCTCTGAATCCTTTACATTTTTATGGAATTATCAAAGTACATTGAAGACTATAGGTTAGCGAAGTATATATAGACTCTGTCATGTGAGCTGGCCAAGGCTATTCATTTGCTCAATCCGTGTCAGTCATCTGTGACTTTAACGATATTCAACAAAATAATCGATATTCACTAATCTTTCATCTGAAGTCGAAACAGTTCTGTTCTATGGATAATTTGGCTAGGACTCAGTGACATATCGTAGTGATATTGGTCCCTAACCACGCGAAGTTTTAAGCTGAGTGTATGATTACTGAGGAGATTCGCATTCAACATATAAGAATAGGAGCAGATCAACAATGATGAAAGTGGAAGGAATTAATCAAAGTGGAATGGCTTGGTAATGCAGGCGCAGTAACCTCTTGCTTTCTGTATCAAATTTATTACTCTCTTCATAACTCATATGTGTTGTTCAGGAGTGCTAGGCGCTATGGTGCTGATCATCACGATGATTATCATGATGGGACTCCAACGTAAGACTTTGTGGATTGGGTGGTCGCATCATGAGAGATCTACAATTTCGGGATTAGTTCTATTGTTATGGCAATACTAATAACAAACGGTGCAATTATTCTACATTGGTTGAGACCGACCAAAGAAACACAACCTGTTATTAAGTTTTATATTAGCTTCAACTTTACCGATCAGTTTTTACGTTTGTTAACCCTTTTTCCATTATTCTGTTGATTAATGCTCACATATATTATCTTATTGTAATACTGATTGATACTCACTTTAGTAGGTCAATCAGTATTGGTAACTGGCCATCTGTATTTATGATTGGCTGCGATGGTTCATTTACAAGCTTTAGTAGCATTTACATGCTTCAGTGAAATAGGTTTGTTAAAAATCAACCACTAGCAAACATAGCTGTTGATCGACGCTAATACACATAGGCAAGCAACGTGAGTAAGCACTAGAACGAAACTTTGATAAGCTATGATGTTGTATCTTTATACACTAGTTTTCCAATTGATAGATGTCTAGATTTCGTCAGCGGTTCACTAGAGAACGATCATACTTTATCTAGCAGGTATCCATAGAACATTAGCGTAATCATGAGATCACTCATCCTATGCTTGAATTCAACACATTTCACTTTCGAAGGGACATTATATAAACAAATGAACGCAGTAGTCATGGGATCTTTAGCATCTCCGGTTGTTGCGAATTTATTCATGCCCACATTGGCTTACTTATTCTTGCCAGCAAGACCAGAACACGAATCTGACTCAGATAAGTAAGTGACACATTTATCATTATTAAAAGGATCCCTCTTATAAATTTCTTCAAACACATGAGCACACTCTCAGAATACATCGAATCCACTTTAGAAAAGGAAGATGAACATAGTGAACTACCTTTCTAAGACCGTTTGGTTAATGATAGTCTGAATCTAGCCATATACTGAAAACCGATACGTTCAAATAGGTATATTGATTTTCAACTCTGCATATCCATTCAGTGCGAAAGTATCCCTAGCCCTGATTTTCTTCAGAAGGTCAACCAAAATCATTACTTCTTATGAAGACAAACTAAGGGAAGAAGAGAATATGATAAACATTCTACTTTCCAATAATTTTCCTGAGAATATTATAATAACATACTAAAACAAGACGGTCATTCTGTTAGTAACAATCCAAATAAAAGTTATTAGATCGGTACTGTGGTTCGATAGAAGAGTTACAATGGATATTGAAAACGTTCAAAATTAAAGCTTTCTATGAGAGAACCAACACTCTAAGAGACGCTTTAATTAGAATAAAAGATATGATCCCGTTCACGTCTACATAAAATTGTATCTGCAGATTAGGTCGTGTGGATTGTGATGAGTTCTACATTAGAGAGTCATACTGTGAGATTAAGAATAATCCTATTTCCTAACTTTATTTCAAATTAACAATAGTCTCCGGAACTAGACAAATGCCCAGTGTCGTAAACTATGAGTAAATGTATTCGACTTTTATGTGATACTGTAAAAGGTGAAAATTTTGAAAACATATCTAGAGTTCGATAAGATTTCTTATTCTGGCCGACAAATTGTATATAACAATTGGAGACTACTTGAGGCAATAAAATACATTCAAACTTGAAGATGCCACAGGTATTCGGAGTTTGACAGAGCTTTACCGCTACAAAATGATACCGTGATAAAACCTGAATCCAGGTTTTTTAGATTCTTGTTAACCTTGTATACTTCCTCGAAGAATCTGGTGGTATAATCATATACACTTATAAAAAGTGATACCAAAAGTTAGATGCTAAATTGTTTTATAGATAAATGTATTTCAGACCATCTGAAGTATAGAAATTAAAGTGTGAATTGTTTGGTCTATGGTTTACAATATATGGTGTCTGAACTGACATGGTAATCAGCTTTTGTATAGATCGATGAACAAGTTTATACAGCCCATACGTACATACATGAGCAAACACACGTTTATAATAGGCATAGTAAAAGTTCGTAATCAATCACATGAATAGTTACAAAATTATTAATAGAATTGTAATAACACATTTAAACGTCACTTGATTGTCTTTTCACATACCAGTTCAGAAAGTATGGGGTTATATAGAGTTGCCATAATAATGGTGAAAATCAAGGTTACCAAGCTGTATGCTTCTGAATCCCAAGTTAGATAATATAAAGCTGTTACAGTTCTAATCTCTTCTAAATAATTCATCTAAATGGTGTCTGTTCATCCCCAATATAATTAATAAAGAGAATATCAGTAGAATTATGCATAAACAGAAGTGACAGACTTCAGGACTGAACGAGTGGCTATAAATTGGATGGGTGAGGATTATCACGTGAGCGGTAACT